CTCTGTCTAAATTTGTTCTACAAACTATATTGGATTTATGGTGATAATCCTTTTGTCTGACAATTACCTAGTTAAGTAGAGGGTTTGTGTCAGCCTTTTACCATTAAAATATCTGACTTATTTTAGGGTCTTAATTTCTGTAACAAGAATATATCTGATTTGGCTGATGAATCACTTGATATGCAGTCATTGGTGTTTGATAAGCTTTGAGAAACTATTTATCTAAACTGTATTGTGGGGACAAACTGTACATGAACATTATGTCATGTTGTAAAAAAAACATAACAATAAGAAAAGATTAACGTTTAGCTAAATTTACTGCAGTATGTCGAAAAAGTATGTGCTGTTTTAGACTTGTGCATGTATTTAGTAATTGTTTTTGAAGTTTTTAAATATCCAATTTTGAGTACTTTGATCTTAATTTTTACACGTCCGTTTATATATTGCTAGAATAGATTCCTATTTAAACAGGAAAATTGTTATTGACGTGTCTTCAGAAGATTTAGAAGTCTTGCGAAATACATGTAAAAACCGTCTTAATTTAAACATTACCAGATATCGAACAAAATGTCAACAGTGTATCCTAGGGCACACGCAATGTCATTGTGTCGTATATCATGTCACATGAAAGTCAGCTATATCAAAGTTTCACTAAATGACACTATTAAAGGACACATGAAAGAATATGTCTAATAATCTTAATTCAAATCTTATTATGTTATGTATTATCATATGACCACGTAAACAAGGCTGGTAATACTTTTATTTTAACAAAACAAAGAACAATGAAAGAAAAAGAGTAATAATTAGATCACGAAATAAATAAAAACTGCTCTGTCAGATGTATATTATAGTAAAAAGTGCTATATTAGAGCATTATATCGCATTGCTTTGCAAAACCAATATAACTGTTAAGTTTGAAACATACCATACAAATCCTATTAACAATATTTCTGTTGTTACAATTCTAATATACAAGGACAGATCATTTATCTTGCATTATTTAGATCTGTAATTGATATTCTCCAATTGCGAGAGTTATTGCTATACCTACCATTATGTTTGCATTTGTTTTACTAATCTCGTTAAACATGTTAAACCCATGCTGATATATCGCTTTGTCTCAAAATTAAATACCTTAAGATAAGGTTTTCTCTCAGTCCTTTACGTACAACATTTGAATTATATAAGGGTATCAATTTCTGTGGAAGAAAGATGGTGAATTAATATGTTAAATTCGAGAGAAGAGACAGGGGATATTTTCTACCTGCTATGCACACATGATGTATATATGTATTAATTAAAAAAGGCATCAAGCACACCAAAACTGCCAGTGATAATTGTTATAAGGATTTTATATAGCACACACGAAAAATTGACGTCTAATGATCCCGTGTAATTTTAGTTTTAATAATGCACTCTCTATCTTAAATACCCAATATTATAAGGCTATGATTGTATAATTTATTTTACACGGCATTTTGTTAATCTTTTGTAAGCTAAAGAATAGGTAATATGTAGATACGCTTGTGAAGGATCGTCGAAGTACATGAAACCACTGTTTGAATTAGAAATAATTCATTAAAACTCATGTGTAGCCAAAATAACTTTGTTAACCTTTCAAAAAATGTAATTGTTTGCCGGTATACATGTACCATAGAATAAAACAATTATTGTAAGTTTATTAAAAAAAAACCCTGAAACTTTTAAATATCAATACAAAGAATGTCTGTAACTTAAGTTTTATATTCAGAAATGAACCTACATTAATATTTTGTTTATCGTATACCAAAAATAAAGACCGTTTAAAGCGAAAAAGTATCATTTTTCATTGACACGCTTATAATGTAACGCTATTATTTAGCGCGCCTTTACACCTGTACACTGTTGATGTCACGTCAAAATATATACATGGCCGTGCAATACCATTTTTACGGAGTCGTAAAAACGGCACGGGTATGTGATGAATTTAAATATAAATAGTGGACTCGTTCATCCTGATTTACATCATATCCGAACTGCGGACAATTATATTTAAAATATGACAGTTGTTGTTTTTGGTTTTTTGCTTTTTTTTTTTTTTTTTTTTTTTTTTTTTTTAGTTATTTCAAGCCTCAGATATTTTGACGTCAAATTGTTCTATATGATAAAATGCATTGTAATATTGTAATAATTTTTCTGCTTATGTTAGAATTCATTAAATTTACAAAGATATCATTCCTATAGAAAACATGAATCAGCAGATAGATCCTGTTATTTTACATCAGTGACTGAAGTCAATACCTGAAGTTAAAACAGAAGTTTAATTTGATTGTTATAATTCTGCCACATGTGTTATAATAGTATAAAAGTATCATATTTACACCAATCATCTTGATAATATATTTTGTAGAAATATATAATGCTTTTCGATATATTTTACTGACGGGTAAGAAATGTGGGTAAATACCTAAAATTGTTATAATAGCTAGCAGACTAACATGTTATGTTATAACATTGACAATTTAATGGAAATATTTATTTTACTTTTGTTATTACAATACTTATATTTACGATAATAGGGGTGATCTGCAAGAAATAAAACCGTGGACCAAGAAAACCTACTATCAAAAAGACTGGTTTCAAGCAATGAAATTTAATTTAGATGTCAACAATGAAATTTAAGACAAACTTGCTTTTTTAGATGTCAACATGTGTTTACTTACTCATGTAAGAATGGAAGAGAACAATTAATCTATTGTATAAATTGCTTTTTAAATTGAATCAAGACAAACAGATAGGGTAAATGAGAAAGACGGATTGGTTTCCTGAGCTTTAATCAAATATATCTGAGCCGCGTCAAGACAAAAACCAACGTAATGCGTTTGCGACCAGCATGGATCCAGACCAGCCTGCGCATCCGCGCAGTCTGATCAGGATCCATGCTCTTCGCTATCAGTTTCTCTACTTGTAATAGGGTTGGTAAGCGAACAGCATGGATCCTGATCAGACTGCGCGGATGCGCAGGCTGGTCTGGATCCATGCTGGTCGCAAACGCACTATGTTGGTTTTGTCGTGACGCGGCTCATCTGATTTAGTCTAAAACATCTCTATCTAAGCCTGCTTAACAACTCGTTGTTTTGTTGTTGTTTTTTTATTTACGGTAAAGTACAATAAATCCTAGTTACAAAAATGTTAAATTCAGCTGTGTTTGTAGGAAATACGAAATAAGACGAATTTGTATGTTTCTTCTTAAAAAAAAAAAACAATTAAAATAAAATATTATTGTTAGCAGAAAGTTACAGAAATTACTTCAGAAGTGAGAGTTCTGAAAATCGAGAACTGATAAATGCCACATTTCTTTTCCGATATGAGATTTTTTTTCTGAAGTAATTAGCCAAAATATGCGAACGAAAATAATAGATATTCTGATGCAAATTATGTTATGGTGTTCAAACATTTGAAATATATATGTCCTGTAATAAAGACTACTTTAAACTACAATGAAATTAAGATATGGTTCATGAAAGATTAATAACAGGAATTGCTTATTCATAAAGTGAACAAGAAAATACATACATGATAGAAATTTATTCTGTATATCTATGTAATTTCAACATAAATTTTATTTGTAAATACGTGTATTTGTAAATAATGTACGAATGCACTTGACAATCTTCTAATATTACATATAAACAAGAGGACCCTTGTACCCTGGGTCAATCACCTGGGTGTATGCCTGTATTAAGAGTGTGTGAGGACAAACAGGCGGGTCCCCTTTTGACCCTAAAATCAAAATTTCAACAATCTTAGAGGACCATTATATGATCATGTTACATATCAAGTATCAAGGTTCTATGCCTTGTGGATTTTGCCAAGAAGATGTTTTATTATTTCCCTATATTACTTTTTAAAAATCTAAGGAGCCCGTCTGACAAGGTCCCTTTTGACCCTAGGGTAATTATTTGAACAATCTTTGTAGAGGACCACTAGATAATGTTACATACCAAATATCAAAGCTGTAGCCCTTGTGGTTTTTGACAAGACGATTTTAATAATTTTTTATTAAATTGATAAGCCCCCTGGCGGGACCCCTTTTCATCGTAGGGGCATAATTTGAACAATCTTTGTAGAGGACCACTAGATCATGCTACATGCCAATTGTCAAGACTCTACGCCGTGTGGATTTTGACAAGGTAACTGTATATTAAACTGATGAGACCCCTGGCAGGGCCCCTTTTGATCTTAGGGGCATAATTTAAACAATCTTTGTAGAAGACCACTAGATGATGTTACATACCAAATATCAAAGCTGTAGGCTTTATGGTTTTTGACAGAGATTTTTAAAGACTTTTTTCAAATCGAGTAACACCCATGACAGGGTCCCTTTTGACCCTAGGGGTATAATTTGAAGAATCTTTGTAGAGGACCACTAGACCATGTAACATACCAAATATCAAGGCTCTAGGCCTTGTGGATTTTGACAAGAACATTTTTAAGACTTCCCTATATAACTTTATATAAAGCTGATGAGCCCCCTGGCGGAGCCCCTTTTGACCAAAGGGTCATAATTTGAACAATCTTTGTAGTGAACCACTAGATCATGTTACATACCAAATATCAAGGCTTTACACCTTCTGGTTTTTGACAAGAAGTTTTTTAAGTTTTTGTTTAAAAAAAACTCATTTGATTGCCATGGCAACCAGAGTTCTTCAAGGTATTGGAGTCTTTTAACAACTTGGGTAGAGCTTCATGCAAAGAACATGCCTGCCAGGTTTCATTAAATTTAGCCCAGCGGCATTGGAGGAGAAGTCATTTGAATGAAAAAGTTCACGCACCAACGGACTGACGGACGACAGACCATACGGTATCACAAAAGCTCACCTTGTCACTGTGACAGGTGAGCTTAAAACGTCTAATGGAACAAAGCTATTTTCACACTGGTTTGTCGTAAAGAAATCCTTGTTAAAATTGTTGGTTTTTCTCTGTCAGGGTAACATTTATAAATATGACCAAAACATGAATATATTTATTATTGTTCTATGTTATAACTGAAGTCATGTTTTGCATGAGAAATTACCAAATATGGTAATTATAACGGGAAGCGGTTTATATATAAACCGGGTTGTAACGTGTTAAAGTCACTTTGAGGTCAGATACAGGCAGTCAAACTAAACTGGTTAGTTTAGTTTCCCCACCCACCCGCCCATTTTTTAAGATTACTGTTTTGATTCTTTGGAATTTGGTTACAGTAAAGTTTTGATTTAACAACAACAACAACAGTTTATTTGCATACATGTTTTAACAACATAAGAGTTATATACATGAAATAATATACAGTGCTTCAAATTTAATATATAGATATTCAAATTTGTTTCATGTTTTATCATGTCAATTTATCTATTTCAGATCGAATGAATTGTCAAATTTTCTGTAAGATTGAAGCAGAGTGAAAGAATATTCATCCATATGTAAAGGATTTAAATAAGTGTTTGAGTGTAGATGGTTTCTTGGACATTGAAGTGATTTTTTTTTCCCTTCTCATCTTTTGTGTTAAGAGATGGACTCAAAAGACCATATTTCTGGTCATATTTTTGCGAGAAACCATCGCAGTGTGCTTGTGTTTTGTAACTATCAATGAATAAAATGCCTGTATTGACCACACCTATATAAGTGTTTGTTGTTTTTTCAAAACAAGGTTATAATATTGTTTAATTATAAATGATTTATGTTTGTCTGAAGGAACTGAAAGAAAACATAATCCAAATTATTTTCTTTTAATTTCAGCGTAGCAAATAAGGTGACACACGAATATGGATACTTTAAGAAAGTACTATTGGGTAGAAGGATTAGTGTATAATAACAGGTTTGTAAATTAGCTTCAAATATATCATTATACAATAATCGGGATCTTAAGATGAGCAGTTCTGTAAAGTTTAGTGATACAAGTCACGCACTGTCGTGATGATTTCCAAAATAAACTAGCAGAAATGACAGAACTATGAAAAAAATTTTCACTGAAGAATGACTTACTCGATTGAATTTACAGGAAAAATCAAATCATACCAATACTATAATGGATGAAACAGTCAAGCTAACTTTACATTATAAATAATAAAGTAAATATTTTCGAGGCATCTAAAATGTTTATATATTAAAACCACAACAGACGGTAGGATTTAGTTGTACAACAATAATTTAAAATATAATGTACAATTTACAATACAACACTTGCATTCATGATACCATAATTTTATATTATATGAATCATAAGGTTGACCTCCAAAACATAGTCCTCTAAATGGATCAATTGCAGCATTTACAAGACACTATTACTTAGAGGTTAATACTTGGTTGCTGCTCGCCATTATGCGATAATGGCCCGAAGATGTGCATAATGGCCTGAGGGCCGCAGGCCCGAAGGACATTATGGACTCGAGGGCCATTATCGCATAATGGCGAGCAGCAACCAAGTATTAAAGTCTTTAATACCTATGTCCGAAATACGGCATTTAGACATCGCCGCTAATCTTGGTTGTCGCCCTTTCTAAGAAACGGTAAAAAAATATCTGTCATTCAGGCTAACTCTTCGATTTACTTTGAAAACATGACAAAAACAAAATACATATGAGACAATATTGTTTTATTGTTGTTTATATCGATAAATAATCTTTATATTTTTTTTGAGAATAACATTTAGTGCCAGTTTTTTATGAACTTTTGTGCCTCTGAGACGATCAATGTCAACCTCTAAATGCTATCGATCCGATCGGTCTCTTTTAAATAAACTATACCGTCAAACTGAAATCATTTTTGGAAGTTCTGAGGGTCATGTTTTGTCTTGGAATGAGTTATTGTATTCTTTTATTGAGTTTATAAATATTCAATGTTAAGCTTTGTTGATTGCGATTGATAACGTCATTTAAACTTTAAATTTTGTGTACAAATGACTTTAGTTCATTCAACGTCAGCAGCCATCTTGAAAGTCACTGAGAGTTGATGACGTCATACTGTACGTGCGCTCATTCACTCGCCCATTATGGAAAAATAATGCCGAGTAGCAAGGCGGCCAAAATTGCATAATGACCTAGATCTTGCCATAATGGCCCCGAAATACCCTAGATTTTGTTACTATATATAGTAACATAGGTATTAATACTGGATTACATGCACGATGGATGTGTAAATATAATAATAAATTATTGTTGGTAGGGACAATGTTTAAGAGGTTAACAAAAACTGTTCAGCATTGGATAGCAATGAGGAAGTATCTAAGAAATAATCATATTGGTCTTACTGCGATCCCCTTAACCTATTCTGTATTTTTGTCTTAATGTGATGAATTATTTTTTCTTCAAAAGGTTAAGATAAAGGTCTTGTTTATTAAAGTGTCACCCCTACTGAAAGGGCAAGCCATTTCTGACTTATGAGGCACCTTTTGCTTGCTTACCATGTACCTCCGAACTCCTACCACTATGACAGCCACCAGGCGGGTAGAAATAGTTACCTACATCGCGGCACACGAAGCGGCCATTTCGGAATGAGTCCCACGAGAAACATTCATTCTTCAATTAAAGCTCCCCGTGGGGCTCGAACCTTCGACTTCCCGATCCGAAGATGGACGCCTTAACCACTGGTACCGGTTCTTCATGAGGAATTATATTTTTTTTCCATTTTTAAAATTTTTTAACCTTATAATCCTTTTCTGAGTAATGTGGTATTCAAACATCACACAGCTTGGACTTCCCTAAGAGATTTTCAACATTCTCTTTACTCCATCTTACATTTACATTTAAGCGCTAATTGTTCTGGAATGTCTTTCATCACTCACATTATCAGTGGAAAATTAGAAATCTGGTCATCTTTACAACAAGATTTATAAATTAGAACATGTCATATCCTTCTAATCTAGTATTTAGTTTTACTAATTCAAGAAAAAGTAGCACACATTAAGATTTGCTTGTACATTAAAGCTTTAAATGATGCTGTACTTCTAAATTCTACCGTCTGTTAAAAGATCTTTCTACAAGCATTTGTTCGCAAGACATCATTCCATAAGAGTGTACGTAAACATGGGTCAACATTGTGCTGCAATGCAACAATGACCCGAAAAGTATGTGAAAAGAATGTATGCAACATTGGTAAGTAATTTATTGTGAACAGAGAATAAAGTCCACGGAATATATTTTCGGTTCACTCCTTATCTCCTCAGTATAGTAGGTTGATTTACCTTCACAGTGACATAGTGTTTACTCACTTCCACAATATGGGAACGTATTCCCTTTAAAGTCACAATATCACTGTACTGCTGGATAATTAAATGGTAGAGGAATCAGTTACAAAAATAAACGAATAAATGTAATTCAGATACCAATTCAAATAGCAAGTCTGCCATTACCTTAAGAAATTATATGGATTTAAGTCTCGAGTTTTGTCTACCATTACATTATCTATACGACATTTACAGCTGCTTGTAAAGCATAACGTTCTGATAATTTTGGAAGCGTAAAATGTGATACAAAAATTCAACTTAAATAAATAGATTTCAAACAATAATGAAAATTTCAGATAATAATGTATAAAATTCCTACTTATTGTATTTTAACTTGGAATTCTAGTTTTACAAGTTATCTCGATTGAACATCAAAGAGAAATATTGCAAGGATATAGTAGACTACAGTACAACATTTGCGTAGCAACACCATTTAGAGGGCAACTCTTGTGTTGAGATGTGTTGCTTTAGAGATGTTAAGGCCTCAACAAACGCTAGGATTTTGAAGTACAACACCAATTAAAACTAAGATGTACAGGCAAATCTTAATGTGTGAAGGCTACTATTTCTTGAATTCAGACAACTTAATACTAGATGTACAGAGATGTTCTATCTCTTAATATTTGTTGTATAGACCTCCCGCGATGACAGATGACATATTTCCCAATTATACCCTGATAATGTGTTTAATGAATGAAATTCCAGAGCAATTAAGGCTAAAATGTAAACATGTTAGTAAGGTGGGGGTATAGTTATGTTGAAAAACTCTTCAGGAGACCCAAAGTTGTGATATGTTCGAAAACAAAATTATCCAGAAAATGAATATGTCAAGGTACTATAAAGGGGAGATAGTTTGTAAGCGGTCGGATAGCTCAGTTAATAGAGCTGCAGTAAGGTATTCCGATGGTCACAGTTTCGAGTGTCGGTCAGGCTGCTCATTAATCTCGCCCTGTGACAATTATAAAAAATTCAAAAAATGGGGGGAATAAAATTTTAGTAAGTAAAGTATGTAAGGGATCAATTGGGAGGAACAATGCAGAATTACGTGTTGTACTGCTTTGAAAATTGTACATCATATCTCTAATTAGTGCTGTACAACTAAATCCTACCGTCTGTTGAGGCCTTTAGAGAACTTATTGTTACGTCTTACTTTGGGGAAAATTGAAAATGTTGTAAACAAGTAATTATTATACAGTGGACTGCTCTGCGGAGGTGGCATACTATATTTATAAATTTTACTGAAAGTTGATTTGCTTCATAGGAGAAATACCGGTTGAAGGTCAAACTAAATACAAAACTTTTGCATTTATGTCGAGCCAACTATCTACCTGCATTGTTTTTAATTAATATTCTTCTACCATGGGAGATATCTCTGTGTTACATCTGGTTTAAAAACTTATATTGGATTCATGCTGCTGATAAATAGTTTTGTCTCACAACTACATGTACCTAGTTTAATTTAAATATGGTGTATGTGTCAGCAATTCACGTTCTAAACATCTAACATAATTAAATAAGGGTCTCATTTTCTGTAACAGATACCAATGTATGTTTAATTTGACAGATGGAACACTTGATATGCATTGCTGATTGTTAGGATGTGTTTGCAAAGATTTCATATAGATTGTACATGCAACGAGTTCATTACAAAACATTTTATGTTGTGAAAAGTAACATGTTAATTACATATAGATTTAATTACTAGTATGAATCAACAACATGAATCAACTAGAAATGAATTACGTTTAGTTAAATGTTATATACTGCTTTGAGTCATCGCACGATTTCAGTATATTTTTAGAGTCGAGGTAAACTAGAATTAATCGATTTGAATGTAACTTTATTTTTACATGCACGTATAAATGCAGGTTATAATTTCTATTGTTATCAAACTATGAAAAGAGTTGTTCTAAAAAATTAGAAGTCTTGTGAAATACGTGTATTAAAAACGTCTTAATTTTACCATGATGAAATTCTGAAAAACTATCAAGCACACACATAATGACATTTTGTCGTTCACCATGTCACATAAAAGTCAGTTCATCACTGCTTTTAATTTTTCAAAATAATAATTGAATTAAAAATGTGTAAAGCAATTTAAAATCTCAGAAAAGAATTATGTAATTGTGACACAGTTTTAATTAGAAATAAAATTAACTTTTGACAATAGTAATACTACATGTAAAAGGAAAGGTCAAGTGGTGGGTTGAGTTGAAATAGATTTTAAAATTTTCATGTTTGCATCACCCATTGAGGGATCGCCAAATTTGAATTCTTTATTGTCATGAGTACTCCACTTTATGTTTTATTTTTCACATTTCAGATAAAGAATACTTAAAATATCACGGAACGAATTCATCCACTCTGTCTGATGAATAAAATATAATATCCAATTGTCTTAAATTATCGGCAAAAATACTTCTTACAGAAAAGATACTGGTGAATATAACCAAATCATTTTCACAATAATTTCTTCTGTTATAAACAACGTTTATGTCAGGACAGATTATTCTTCTTGCATAAGTTTAGAACTGATAATCCCCTTCTATAATTGATATACTCCTATTGCCAGAGTTATCGCTATCCCTGCCATTATGTTTGCATTTGTTTTACTAATCTCGTTAAACCCATGCTGATATATCGCTTTGTCTCAAAATTAAATGCCTTAAGTATAGGTTTTCTGTCAGTCCCTTACATACAAAACATCTGAATTATATAAGGGTATCAATTTCTGTGGAAGAAGGATGGTGAATTAATATTGTAAATTCGAGAGAAGAGACAGGGGATATCTTCTACCTGATATGCACACATGATATATGTTTGATTTTGAAAGAGCTATAATTACAAAGAAACCAACCATACCAAATATGCCAGCGGTTTATATGATATAAAGGTATCTATAGCATGAACAGGAAAATAAATTGACGTCAAGAACTGATTTGTAATTTTAGTATTTTATGTTCGGATCCATTCATAATATAGTTTAAGGAATGGAATAGTCTCTGATTCTTCTCCCGCTACACAAATTGGCCAAATTTAAGATTTTATTCGAAGTATTTCACTCGCAATGACGTGAAAATTAGTCATCCGAAAGATCCGCAGTATAATCCTCCAACCAAAAACAGATGGCAAACAAATTGGAATTATTTCAGTCAAAAGTAAATCGCATCACAGCTAAAATAATTCGTATCAAGCTAAGAAAAAATGCAGAGTTCATAAGCAAAATGAGAAGCAAATTCAGGAAAGACTTACTCGTTCTTGGCGTCTGTATATCCGCTTAAATAGTGGAAAATGGTAAAACTTTGTCACTAAGGACGAGGCAATGTTGTATATGGGTGGTAGTTATGGTAGGAGGCGCGTTTGCTATATAACAGAAAACGAGACAGACAGACCTAATGGGGCCTCCGTGGCCGAGTGGTTAAGGTCGTTGACTTGAGATCACAGGTCCCTCACCGCTGTAGGTTCGATCCTAACTCGTGTCGAAATCTTTCATGTGAGGAAGCCATCCAGCTGGCTTACGGTAGGTCGGTGGTTCTACCCAGGTGCCCGCTTGTGCCTGAAATAATGCCCGAAGGGGCACTTGGGGTCTGCCTCCACCAATAACGCTGGAAAAAATCAAAAGTTCGTTAAGCAGCAGGGTTAGTAGCAAGACGTCATTGAAAGGTGTTAATGTGATACAGGCTACTATGTAAGAGCCAATTATGATAAATAACGTTCCACGTTTGTTTTCTTGTCGTGAAAAGGAAATGTTTTTTTCCATCAGTACAGTGCTTCCGACCATACATCTACCCAGAGGAAACAGTTTTTCAAAGCACGTAGTCAAGTACGTGACCAAAGAGGAATGACTGCTAGAGTCCTGGTGCAGCACCAATGGACTTTAAAATCTGGCCTGGGGCATCCTAAAACACCGATTCCAAAAGCGAAAAATGTGTCATTTGAGCAGAATTAAAAGGAGACACAGACAAAATTTTCATCTCTTCATTTTGAATTTTCTATCCATTATTCTGTAAATGTCCTCAAAATGAATACACTCGGCAGTCACAGGAACAAAACTTTTTTCCTTATAAAGAATTAAAGGATGGTTTCCTAACTTGACCCACGTGGGTCAGGTTAGGCTGTCACAGTGAACTCTGTAAATGTTAAAGGGTTTGTTCAAGTCACATGACTTGTTATAAAACTACTCGGTGATTATGTCGGCGTTTAAATAGATATGCTTACGCTTCAAACCCAAAATACATAGAATTTATACAGAAATTTATGCTAGGACTGAGTGATTTGAGTACATAAGATCATTTTAATATTTTATCATTAATTTGCCTGAGTATCTTTTAAAATTGCGTTGAAGCAAGAGTGGGAGAAACTGGAGCAATGTACCATTAATAAGACTCTTTGAAGCTGGCAGACATGATTTAGAATTATCTTATGTGCCAATGGGTCACAAAATGGAACATTTGTTGCAATGAAATATAAAATAATTAAAGCAAATCAAAATGTTCACATAAAAACGAATCACCTCTCGTATCTCTGATATAAGACCTTCTCCAGTCGTTTCGTCTTCACTAAAGTATAAACACTTCAGTAGTAGTCAGGCATGTGTAGGTAATACATAAAATAGATCTAGTTTAAAAGAAATTAACTACAGGGTGTGGAGAGTGGAAAACGGAGTAAAATAATCAAAACAACACATAGAAAATATGTAAGATATTTACTTGTTTAACATCACTAGTTTCAATTAATAACAAGCACTATAAAAACAATAACAACAAGAGCTGTCAGTAGAACACTATTATAATAGTAAAACAAGAACCTGGACACTGTGGGAATTAAAAAAGATTACATTAAAAGAATACATAACATAGTTACGATAGTTATGAGTCTTCGATATTGACCAAAGAATTGTGTAACTTCACAAAAATCCATGCAAAGAGCCAAATCAATTGACAGAGCACCAAAGTGTGTATATGTATGATTTAAAAAATGGGTATTTTAAATCTAGTTTGGTAAGTTTGATACTTACCATCTAGTATTACCAATGGGGCTTTATTACACCCAGTGATGTATAACTCTAAATCACGGGTGGTCAACCCTACAAAAGTTATACCAATCAAGCCTCTGTATCAAAACTGATATTGATAATTAAGCACCAAATTGGTTGAAGTTTTTTTTAACAAAATAATCAATTCAGTCTGGTTATACTTAGTATTGATTACTTATTGAGAAGTGTATGTCATAAATTTGCTTTTTTCCAGAGAAAGAGTGTGAAGAAATTATCACAAAGAAAAAAAGGAAAAGTAAGTTTTTATGTTTAATTATGCTTAGGATTTGAATTTTAACTCTTTTATATTGACTGTTTTTGACATTGCCTATAATAATGTCTCTGAGTGTAAAAAAATGCCCCGGCCAATTATGGTTACTTCTTTTATAAATTTTGAATATTTTCAAATTCCTCAAACTTAACTTGATTAAAAGAACCCTAATATTCTGTACTTTAATACAGTTCAGTGCAACAGCGAAATGCGAAACAGTTCCCCTTTAGGGTGTGAAGACAAAGTGTTTACGCATGATTTAATTTTAGCCTGCTTCCATGATATTAAGTCTCAGTAAACTATGATCATTATAGAAATCAGAAGTCCATTATTTGTATAATACCGGTAAGAAGATAAGAATACATTGACTTTCCATTTAAGAAAATGTAAATAAAAAATATTTTGCAAGAAAGAAAGAAATTTGAAATAGGTCATGAAATTTAAAGCTGATGTATGTGAAGGTTTTTGGCGTCGTCTCTTATGTATGCTTCGTTTTTGGCAAAGAGTAGGAGCTGTTATCATTAACAGTTAATGTCATATTGTGTTAATAAGTTTTTTTTATTCTTAAAAATCAAGTAAACAAATATGTTGTAATTTGTCCTATTTCGTAATTGTAATTTTATTGACGCAGAATAAATCGTGTCATTCCGCAGTAAAGCATGTCTTATTCAAAATCATATGAGACTTTGCAGCCGAAAAAAACATCGGTAAGTAGATTATGAATTTACTGACAGGGCACAATTGATTAGTGTATTAAGTTCTTATATCAGTTTTTTCCCCAACATATTTTCATTAGTTTGATTTCTAAAGTGAGCAGATGAACACGTACCTTTAAAACCTTCCTTTATTCAATACACAGGAAATCCTCTGAGCTTCCTTGAAATTGTAAGGCAATTGTTTAATGAGGCGTGGCATTTACGGCAGATATATGGAACTACTTTCTCTTAGTGGTGATAAAGGGAACTATTTTCGTTCAAATAAGCGGGATGAAATAATGTAAGAACAGACATATAAAATTTAAAAGGATGTGGATACTAGCATTGTTTATAGGTAATTTGTTAATACTTTTTTTAAGTACCCTCTTTATTTTACAAATAAAACAACAAAAATGCTACTCTATATTGTAAGAAATAAAATAAAATATTAATGGTTTATCTTTAGAACATAAAAAGTAATACAACAAAAACATAAAACAGACAAAAATGAGAGAGAAAAACAACAACAAAAATACATGAAACAATATTATCACATTAATTTATATTTAAAGCAAGCTTTTTATTTATTGAATATATTAATTAATTTAATTAACATGCGGTCAAAAGTTTTAAAACTCTCGCTTATGTATATATTAAAATTCAACGTTACTATTACCTTCACATTACGTCTACAAAGTTGATTAGTTACTGCTTATAAACGAGTTCGTTAAATGAAAACCGATGGGTTCGTTTTTTATTATTTGACATTTGTATGATATTATATTTTGTCTTTTTCTTTCATTCTTAATTTGTTTGTTTCGTTTTCTATTTTTTACCATTTTTTTATTTTCGTTAATTGTGCGTGTATTTCAAACATTGTGTTGCTTTAAATCAATTAAAACAAATAACTGTTGTTTTTGTTATGACGATAATATACGTAATATCACCAAAGCGTGGACTTAACAAAAGTCTATGAAGCTCGTTGGAATATTGCCAGTATGCATTCTGTTAAACAATTTCCTGAACTCGTTTAATCAATCAATCAAATTTAAATATTTATAAGTAGGGAAGTAAATTGTTTGATAAAGTGGCATGCGTCACTTACAAAATAAACATATACAAATATTTTAATCAAGGTATTAAAACACCCGGCCTATGGGGCTATAAGTCACTGTCCAATTTAATGTAGTATCTTTATACAGTTCTCAATTATTAAACACAATAGCAGTACAGAATTTATTTCAAATGCATGGACGATGTACATAAAATACGCCCATAGTATATTGTGTATTTAAAGACAACTTATGAAGGACACCACCTTTATTTTATTGTTTTATCAAGTAACGTACGATTAACCTGGACAAATTTTTAATGATCTTTTGCATATTTTTCTATTTTATATGCCCCAACTTATCTGTGTAAAAATTTGAATTTATAATAGTTTAAGGCTTTTAGATCTCAGTGGAGTTCCTTTAACTTAATGTTTATATGAAAGCATTTAGATATTTACAATATCGCAGTTTTACTATAACATTTTAAATTCCATAGTTGCCAGTTTTATCCAGAATTTCCTAATAACTCAAGAGCATAATTATTATATATGTGACTTCATGATTAAATAACAAAGTAGATTAGAATATATAGTGCAGAAACATAAATAAATACGAAAAGACAGTCTTGGTAACTTTTTGTTCTGTTTTCAGCTTTATTGCATGTATACACATGTCATGGTGCCCCAAAGTATACATGGCCTCTTGACATTGTGAACCCTCTACTCGAGACGAGGGCGAATGTTACCGAGGGACAACCGGGCTGTTCTTATCAGCAAGGATTATTGTATGATACACTTAATTACAATGGCATTTACATGTCGGGAAGTTCTTACTCTTACATTGACGTTACAATAGGGAATGCGCATAGTATAGATGATTTTGCAATAACTATATACGTTAAGAGGCAAAGTCTCTACGGTGTCGGAACTATTTTTCATTACAGAGTGGATGCAGCCGCCGTTGACAACACCATTATACAAATCAAAGATGTGATTCTAAGTAACAATGAAACGCATTTGATTGCGGAAACGTTCGGGCCATATGATGAACTGTATGGCTTCACAGCGGCAGCATTAGACGCTGCAACACTGGCTCAAAATTGGACAGGAATATGTGTAAGTCATGATGGGAAGAAGAAGACACGGATCATCACTAATACGGGTATTGACATTTTAACAGAAGCCGCAATGGATGCCGAAATAGAACAACCAGCTATGCTGAGATTCGGCTCCTCTTTCTACCCTGAACGGCCACCTTTCTTCGGGAATATTATTTGCGCTAACATGTATGGTACAAAAGATTGCCATTTAGATGATTCGTTAGTTGAGTGCACAGGTGGAGCCTGGCAACTTCCCATAGGTATATATTTATCATGTTGTTCCAATGTGTCAAGAGTTTTCATATTTCAGTATCCATGTTTGCATACCTTTATAGCTTGAACACGGCTTGTTGCTGTATTAAATTTATTCAAATATTTTATCTTTGCAACAAGAAAAAAAATCTAATAACAAAACCAACCCGTGAAAATGTGCTGTAATTAGAAATGTTAGATAAAGGCGTTCGTGTGTGCAGATATAACAAAATGTTTCGTACTACATGTATATGACATGCATTTATCGTGACGGCTGTTTATTAAAAAAAGACGTTATTTTCTTAGTATAACATGATTCACGTACATCATACTTGTGCTAATAACTTTTGCGTGTTATCGTTCACGAAAGTACAATCAGAATAATTTCTTCAAAGAGAAATCTTTATTATAATGGCAGCTTACTGTTCCTGGTGTATTTGTACAAAAAGCCTCATATTGAAGTTCTTTTCAGTCTATTCTGCTTTAATGTAATGATTTCTTGTTCTATAATTAGAAATAGCTATACTTGTCGTCACTATTTCACATACAGTCAACCAGCTTTGTAATACGCTGTAGCATATATTTAATCGTGGGTTTTCTGGAAATATTCTCTTTATTTTGAACTTAAAATGGGCATACAACATTACACTAAATAACGAAAAAAAGAAAGAAAATAATCTTTGAAAACTTTATAAACTGAAGGCTTAAATTTCTAATGAAATTATAGGAGACTAATCACGAATTTACCAATAGAAAAGAAGTTCACAACTATCAAAGTAAAGGCTTTACATTTTAATAGGGAAAGTTATCATATTTGTTTAAGAGTAAAATAAATCAGACATATTGTTTTAGTTTCCGAGACACAAACAATATTTGTATATTTGTCGCAGTATGTTCTCAATCTGTTCAGGAAAATGATATCATCAGTATTTAAGCATCCTAAGATAATATTCTCGTGGGTGTAAGTAAAGAATCTTAGATGATTTAAAAATTATTTAAACTTCTTTTTATTCAACAGTTCCAGTGACTGAAACCTGTACTGAACTTAAAGGCTACTTTAAGATTAAGCAACAGAATGCTGTGATAGATAATTCTGTATCACCAATAAATACGACAACCACCTCGTCCAGAATGAAATGTGCAGAATTATGTGTGAGGACCGAGATATGTTGGACATACACATTGAATAAAGTAACAGTAGAATGTAAAATATATGATTCGGACTACTCAGTGTACCTTGTACCTGCTACCGGAAGTAACTATTACATCCGACGCGACATCTGTTGCTCAAAATGAAAAAGGTCTTAGATAAAACCTGGGCCAGAAAGAGATATAAATAAGTTAGTCCCTTGCAAGTAAACTCGTTCATCATATAATGTAGTGTACTTATATTAAATAAAATGAAAACGATACAGTTTTTTTTATCTTTTTGTTTAGCTTTGCTAGAAATCACGCCAAAAAGTTTCTTACTCATGCATGTATATTTGGTTCTGTACACTTGCCAAAGGAAATTATGGATGATAAATAACAACACCGTATATAAATTTAAAAAAACTCCACTGCGACAATAGACTAACTATTTTTACTTGCATGAAATTGGTACAGATAATATGTGATGGTTATTTTTTATATATCTTTTTCAAACAATTTTAGATAAAATCACAGCTTAATTTTAACGCTAAACTTACGTGAGATATAAATTTATAACCGCAATATTAATGGAATAAGTTATGAAGAACTATGGCATAAATTAAGATAAAAGATCATCGGAGACATTCTTGTATATGTACGCTCCTTGCGCGAAATTATGACAGTTTTAACACTAATTTTATTTATAGTGCTTATATTCCTTATATACAATATATGCGATTCAAGTTGTCCTGAAAAATACATTCAAACGAAAACCTGAGTCTTTATGTTCTTAAAGTTAATTTTGCTATGATTTACAATTGCAATCAGAATTAAATTGCCTGAACAAACATCAAACTTTAAATTGTATACTATCAAAATAACTATAAAAGTGATCTGTTGTTAATGGAGTGGCTAAATGTTTAGCAAAAATGAATGAGCGAGTTATTCAACGAACTATTTTGTGTTTTATTCAAATATAACAACAAAAGAAACCCAGGATTTTTTTTTTACATCTACGGAAGAGCACTGTTTTAGGAATACATCTTTCTATTTTCGTCTTTATCAAGACTTGCCACCAACTTTTTATCGTCATTCAAATTCCAAACAGATATCAACTTGGATGATGCACAGACATTGGTTGTGCCGATTTGAGATATAATGTTTAAATTAAGGTTAATCTGCGTCATGAAACATCGACATTGAAAACAAAAGATTATTTTTTTAATTCACTTACAAGGTAAATCAAGCGATAACAGTGCTCTATCAATTCATCAACAGGATATTGTTAAGTTAATTTGTAAACCTTAATTTGCTTGCCAGAAAATCTACATGTAATTACATGGCAATGTATCTCAACTTCGTGTTTAATGTATATACCACCACGTCTGTAGTGGTTAACTTGAAGTGTTGTCCCGTATTTATCGAGTTCGGTGGGATTACTGACACTAATCAAGTCACGTTTTAAGAAAATAGGTGAATTTTTAGTGTTATTAGTCTATTCACATTCATATTTTATATCGAAACGTACATAGAAAGTATCCAATTCATTCCAAAAGATGCGACTTACCATATTTATCATCAAACATTATATAAATAACACATGGGTTTGTGGGTAACAGTAAAAATATCATCCCGAGGAAAATACTGTTACCCGAGGCGTAGCCAAGGGTAACAGTATTTTTACGAGGGATGATATTTTTACTGATACACACAAACAAATGTGTTATTTTTTTATCACCCCGAACAAATACTGTAATGACCTGAATTTGTAGACTAAATCTAACTGTAACAAAAATAAACGAAGAGTAGCAATAACTAAACTGTCCTTACCTTGCAAGTTTTACGTGTACTGTAGGCCTACTGGAGAAGCTGATTTTCTTTTATTCTTTGAGCAAGTGATGATATCTACCAGTCATAAACATACAATAAGCTGTGTTTTATTTAGAAAACAAAACACTAACCCATTTATAAGGTTATGATTTGTGAAATCTGATCCTTCTGTATCCAGAATATTCTTCGCATGGTTTGTGACAAAGTGCATTTACAAAATAACGATGATATCCTACAGATGTCTGTCCACCAACTCTATCTGTAACGTTTCACTGGTTAAAATTGTTAAATAATCCTTTGTTGCTTGCTTTAATCGTCTGCATGTTCCAGTTTGACACAAAATTATTAACATTACAATTACTTCCGTTGAAAACGGATGTTTACTTTTTGACTATTCAACAAAAAAATATTTTATATGCGAAAAGAACTCTAGGGTGCAAAGAACTAAATTTTATGAGAGTCATATTTAATTTGGTGATGCCTTGGCCCTATCGTCGAAAATATGAATGAATCGAGAGAAAAATGGCGGCCATTTTATTTAGAAAATAGACCACGTGAGCAGATTTTATACTGTTAAAAAACTTACACCTATGTAACAGTACAAAATTTCTTGCATTAACAGTAAGAATAACTCCCAGAGGCCTATGGGAAATTATAGTACGAAAAAAGTGAGGGGTAATAATAAGACATTCGTTTCTGAAACATTTTTGAAGTAATTGCGAAGATGTAAATAAGGCAGCTGTAATATTTATATATCTAGTGTCAAACAAACAGTGTTAGACGTGTTATTATTGCATAAAAATGAATTAAAATATCAGTTTCTGAAACATTTTTGAAGTAATTGCGAAGATGTAAATAAGGCAGCTGTAATATTTATATATCTAGTGTCAAACAAACAGTGTTAGACGTGTTATTATTGCATAAAAATGAATTAAAATATCAGTTTCTATTATCAGATAAGTATAATGATTCATGTTCTTGACACTCAGGGTCGATTTTTATATAAAAATCTTCCAACATACAATGTAAACAGTTACATTTTGGACATAGATGTCATTGAATCTTTTGTGTGTATTTTTTCCTCAAAGTTATGGTCATCAGCAAATAAGTTATACAAATTTTACTTTTATTTCATAATATAGTGATGTTGTTTACTAATATGAGACAAAATGTTTAAATTTTGATAGAGTATCTCCGGCATGGTCTTTAGAGATTCCCAATTTTGATTCTTTGGCCAGGCTGCTGTGTTTTATATTACCCTTGGATATTTGGCGACGAATCTTTAGCATCCTGTTATCTACTTTTATAAAAATATTCGAGAACAATTCTAATTATTCTTTCTTTCTATATATGTCTATAGCTTCTATGCTGCTTGTTTATAGTACTTCTTGTGTATGTGTATGTGGGGTATTTATTTATCTATTTTTTATTTATTTATTTATTTATTTTTAAAAATTTAACTGTTTAATAATATCATATAAAGTGGTGGTAATTATTGCTTATTTTTAGGTTTAATATCTTATGAATTTCATATAATTATCTTTAAAAGAATATGGTGAACATTTCATTACTCGTTTTTAAATATTTCATGTTTACCATTTATTCTTTTCATTTTGCATTGTAAATGTAAATACGATATTTGCATACATTTTTCATTTAGTCTTAGACTTTTATTCTTTAATTTTTCGTTTCAAATAACACGTTTTTGAATGTTTCATAGTTTGGAGACTTTTTCGTTGAAATTGTGTTAAGACATATATTGTATATGTATAGTGCGATACATGGAGTGCAGTTATAAGTCACCCTTACCCCAGCTACCACACTGTCTATCCGGAATAGTTATTCATGTTAGTCGTCGGGTATTTGTTTAAAGATACTTCTTGTTTTACCTGCGTTGACCTTTTTACATCCCGATGAGATCTACATTTAACTTCATTATACCGGATTATATTTGACGGCTTTTACGTGCATAATCCGCCCAATTAGCGATGTTTATTTTACGCCGTCCAGAGCAAGTTAACAATTGTTCTTTACAGTAGGATACAAAATATCTATTGATAAGTGACACGCAATAAATGACACCATCAATAAATCAAAAAATAGATATTGAGATATCGTAGATGTATTTCAAAGACACAAACCTGTTTCATTCAAGTTACATTCAAGCCTGTAAATAAAGGTCATCTTAAGCAGTGGACTTTATAGACAAATGACCTATATTCGGAGTTAACTCTGTTGTATTTTTATAGTGAAGTTTTTTTTTCAATGAGTGGTATTCATTTACAGGGCGGTCTTTATTTCGGAGGTGGTCTTTTACACGTGTTTGACTGTAGTTTTTGGGATTGTGTTACAATTGTTTATAAACAAGCGCTTGTTAATATGAAAAACATTTTAAGACTTAAGGGACAAAAAAGGTGTCGTAAAACTGAATATTTACTTTGTTATTATGTCGCTATCAAGATGAACTAACCGGACAAATTAAGACAAACAAACATTGATATTTTGAGGTAAGTTTGCATGAAAGTTGTAGTGAATTAGCTGTCCTTTCGTCAAATCTATACACCTTGATACACAGCAGATTTGATGGACAAAAAATATGTTCAAATATCTAAACACCTACAGTTTTCGAGAAAAAAAATCAGAAAATATTTGTTACATTAGTTAACTATAAGTTACATTATTTAACCGTTTTCACACTTCTGAGTTTTGCTTTGCAAGCAGTACATGAAAGTTTGGCGACGATAGGTCTTGAGAAGAAGAAGAAGGAAAAGAAGGAGAAGAAGAAGGAAAAGAAGAGGCAGAAGAAAAATTAGAAGTAAAGGAGGAAGAAACAGAGGAATAAAATTCTATTTAATGTTTCTCTTTATACATAAAACTACTAGTTGTAAATAGCAAACTTTTTGACACAGTTGGTATTAAATAGAACAAAATATTAAATCATTCTGTTTACATGTATGTTATCCGGAGAATAAGCTTTACTTATTATGAAATTAGATATTGACTAGAAGTTACAGTAACTCTTTCACTAATAAAGTACATTTACAATTTACAGTGAATAAAATGAAAATTATTATAGTCTAGGATATGAATGCAATAAGTCATACCTTTCCACATTGGCTAAATAGATATATTTGCTAAGATCGTTCTAAACTGATCTGTTGTTTGACTTAAACACCGCCTTTCCTTATTGATCTTGTTTATCATGAAATCATACCTTTTCACATTGGCTGAATAGATAAATTTGCTAAGATTGTTGTGATTGGCTTGAACGGCGCCTCTCCTTGTTGATCTTGTTTATACTATTTTGAGCATATCCATTATTTTGTGCAAACTAGACCAAACTTGATCACTCACTAATTAAAATGACGTTTAATTAATTAGATTCTTTAAAAATGGTAAGCA